GGGTCCGGGCTGGGGATTCGAACCCGCCACCTTAGGTGTACGTGGCTGGCGCCTTAGCCGGTTGAGCTATAGGCGCCGAGCCTGAGGTGATGTTTTTAAAAGTACTGCCTCTGTACTGGTTGTTCTTGTGATTTGATATTAAGAGCCAGATACTGAAAGGGCCACTGAAGAATGGTGGCTATGGTCTGTTGCTTGCCTGCTGTCCCTCAGCTGAAGAGCAGTTAGTTGAGGGTGGGTTGTGACAGGAGTGCCAGGGGTAAAGTAGGAACAGCAGGCACCCTCCTGGGGACTCCTGAGTGTGTGCTGTCAGCATGGCCACTGGACCACTTGTATCCACTTTTCCTCTTTTACCTCTGTAGCTGCTGATGGCTATAGAAATAGCACCTTTTATTGTCTTGCTCAAGATTTCTGCAGCCTTTGAAAGTTTCCTTTTCTCTCGTTTTGCTGAGCAAACATCAGAGGTGAGAGACTGGTCTAGTAGAGAGAAAGTGGATGTGATGACCAGTGGATGGAGATCAAGTCCTTGCCTTGCAGTGTCCAGCTTTTCCAAAGACAGGTGGTGTACAGTGTGGGTCCCATATCAACCTTTCTCTCTATTTGTATTTTCAGGGAGTCGACGAGTTGAAGATGAAGCCCAGAACAGAGTGCTGTTCTCCCAAGTTCTGGTTGGTGTTGGCTGTGCTGGTGGTGTCTGGCAGCAGAGCTCGTTCTCAGAAGAGCCCCCCCAGCATCGGCATTGCTGTCATCCTCGTGGGCACTTCCGACGAGGTGGCCATCAAGGATGCCCACGAGAAAGATGACTTCCATCATCTCTCTGTGGTGCCCCGGGTGGAGCTGGTAGCCATGAATGAGACTGACCCAAAGAGCATCATCACCCGCATCTGTGATCTTATGTCTGACCGGAAGATCCAGGGTGTGGTGTTCGCTGACGACACAGACCAGGAAGCCATTGCACAGATCCTCGATTTTATTTCAGCCCAGACTCTCACCCCCATCCTGGGCATCCACGGGGGCTCCTCCATGATAATGGCAGATAAGGTAACAGGGGCTGCAAGTGACACAAGCTGGGGGCTTACACTCAGGACTAAATGATACATTTGTTTTAGTGCCAACTGTGGTTTACTGATGGAGGGACCAGAATGTATTAGGAGTGTAGATAGACCGGGAAATTAGTCTAATCATGTGAAGATGAAAGCTAGGGCAAGGTGCTGGTGTCTAGAAACTCCTATAGTTTTCAATAGCTTTGTGTGTCTATTTGTTTGTAAACAGACTCACTGAAATGACTAAGAGATAAATGTTGATGCTTGTAGCTCTGTGGTGCGTTTTCTTCAAATATGTGTATTAATAGCACCTTCAAAACTTCAAAATAAGGCATACTGTATTATTCCATGTTCTGCCCCATACTGGTTTTAAGACTATAAAAAGAAAAATCCCCTGAGGCAGGGGATTTCTCTCCTTGAAGATAGAGGCAAGTGTCATAGGGATGTAATTCTTGCTGAGAAATCCGTGCTTGTCACATGTGTTGATTTGCACATTCAGAAAGATTTTAATCCATGGAGCCAGTAGCTGCTTTTTTTCCCTCATGCTTAGATTTGGAAGCATTGGTTCTTAAGCTTGGTCACACACTGGAATCTCATTACTGGCCTGGGCTTCGGGGGTTGGGAGGGTGTCTTACAATCTCCTCAGGTGATTCTAGTGTGCAATGATGATTGACAACACTACTTTAAAGTCTCAAACAAATCCTAGCCTCTCCTGCATGAATGTCAGATGAACTGTCATATGACTAATTAACATCGGACATGGGTGCTTATTCTCTGACTGCAGATGAAGTGTTTTACTTTATTATTGTGTTCTTTGTACATGTTTCCAATTATTCAGTTATTTTCCCTTGATTTATGGATTATTATTCATTTGCTTGGACACAGGACGTCTGACATATGCATTTTCATTTACAGTCATTCATATCTTAGGAGGATTCATTTCGCCCTAAGTATAACATTTATTATTTTTCATCATTTTGGGTTTTTAAGATGGTCATTGTCATCTATTTCTCACCACTTTCAGAACTGATTTTAGTTTTTTATTTAAAAGACATACTGTGGGGTTAATGATATTTATATACACCTTAGAACCTAGCCCAGACACCACATACATGCTCCTTTACCAGTTGAGAACCGCTGCAACACAGCTGGCTTAGCAGAGACTAAGGCAACCTCGCGTGACCACCATCGCCACCTGTTGGCTGCAGGCAGAGATGACTCCCTTCTCTTTCAGAGCTTCCCTTTTATTCAGTCTAGGAAAGGTCAAGTTGAAAGTGTTAAGTGGAGAAATTTCAGTGTCTATTTACATGGGTGCAGGTACAGATGAAAGAAAACAAAGGCTGGCATGAATAGCCCATGCTAAGGGAAATGGGAGAAACTTAAGCAAAATGGAAAATGTAGACTGACCACGACGAAATCCATTGAGTTTTGCTTCAGGTAGAATTTTTTTTTTTTAAAGATATCATTATCCTTACCAAATAATATTCAGTATTTTATTTTAACAGTATTATTTTGAAAGTACAATATGACATTAAAAGAATGATAACACAGATGAGGGTCATATTTTAAAACCCTAAACAAGTGTGTTTTGAGAGCGTACTTACTTTAAATCGAAGTAAGTTATTTTGAGAGTGTAACAGGTAAAAATGATTATTTTTTTGTTCATGAGGACCATTGTGCAGCCCATATTATTTATCCCCAGTAGAAAAGGTTATGCCTAAACTGGTTGGCTGTTTCTCTCTGGTACCCCTCACAAATCTACAACATCAATATATAGGTATGAGGTGGGATGCAGACCATGGGCAACCTGAACTCTTTTGTCCACTGGTGTATCCTAGGTGCTTTGCGAGTGAGTACCATATGCTAGGCACTCAGCACTTTGCATGCATTATCTTATTGAGTACTCTAACTACCCAGTGAGCTAAGTGGTATTGTTTCATTGCTATCTTATAGGTGGGGAACCTGAGGTTCAGAAAGGTTAAAATAATATATCAAAAGTGCTGTAGCTAGTGAGTGGCAACCAGGACTTTAACACTGGTTGCTGGCTCCAAAGGCCAAGTGCTCTATCACCTCTTAAGAACATGATGAGGTTGGTGAAGGTCTCATCTGTCTTCTTGTCCTCTGTTACATTGCATGGTGGGGGATGCATCTGACTGATAGTGGATCTGTCACGTGATTCATAATCAGGCAATACTGGAATCTAATGATGAGAGAGCGTTAAAAAGGAAATAAAGTGCTGGGGCTCTGAGGTATAGCACAGTTCCATGGAGGGCCTTTCGGCCACTGCCTTCCAGGGAGAACTGAGGCCAGTAAGGTGGATTCTTCCACATCAGTGTCATAAGAGTCCCTCTGGTCACTTCTCCCTTCCTCTTTTTCTTGCTAGCACACCCAGATATTCCATCTTATCCCATGTCTCTACTACGAAAAAGGGGTGTGGGCAATGATTTTCAGATAATTTTCTCAAATAGCCTAAATATGGAACTGACTTTTGTCCTGAAAAGAAGAGATTTTTAAATTTTTTTTTTTTTAATTTAAAGTGGTTTATTCTGAGTCAAATTTGAGGATCAAGACCTGGAGTCACACCCAAGAAGCCTTGAGCAAGTGGACTCCCTGTGGTGGGTGACAGTTTGGTTTTGTACATTTCAGGGAGGCAGGAATTAAGGGAGAGTCATAAATCAATACATGGAAGGCATACATTGGTTTGGCCCGAAAAGTTGGGGCATCTCAAAGGGAAGCTTTCAAGTTAGAGGTGGGTTTAAAGATTCTTTAGCTGACAGTTGGCTGGAAGAGGGTCCAATAGACCAGGAGTCTATGAAAAGGAATGCTAAGGTAAAGGTCTATTAATCAGAGCCAAACTGCCTGACGTGTACCCAGACCCAAGTGGTTTGTTGTGTCTATTGAGGCCCTGCAGGTGGGTCTTGCAGAGCACGAGTTTTTAAAAGGGAAGCAGCAGGAGGAAAAAGAAGAGACAAGGAGGTCCTCATAGTGGGACACCCTGGAAATGTAGAGGCTCGGTCACAGGGTTGGATGCTGAATGGTTGTGACAGAGGAGGATGTAGCAGGAGCCACATGGACTCCTAGGAGCTGGACAGAGGCGTATTCACAGGCCTGAAGGATTAGTGGGGAGGCAAAGGAAAAGAATTCCCCAGATCTCAGAGACATAAGCCTTTGAGACAAGTTTCAAAAATAGAACACCTCACAACTAAGGCCAGGTTTGTTTGTTTTAAACAGAAGTTTATTTTTAGGTGCCATATGCATATTTTACAAACATAGAAAGAGGACACACAGTTTGACAACTGCGAGGTGACAATGGGGCAATAGGACGAGATAGCTAGAAGTAGAAGGGATGCAGAATGTTTAAGACATGTATCTTGAGGCCGGGCACTGTGGCTCATGTCAGTAATCCCAGCACTTTGGGAGGCCGAGGTGAGGGAATCGCCTGAGCTCAAGAGTTTGAGACTAGCCTGACCTAGAGTGAGACATGTCTCTAAAAATAGCCAGGCATCATGGCAGGTGCCTGTAGTACCAGCTACTTGGGAAGCTGAGGCAAGAGAATTGCTTAAGCCCAAGAGTCTGAGGTTGCTGTGAGCTATGATGTCATAGCACTCTACCAGAGGCAACAAAGTGAGAGTCTGTCTCCCCTCCCCCCAAAAAAAGATATGTGCATATTTCAGGTATACAGTAACCATCCACCGATGGTAGATAAGCCTTCTGCCTGTCTTCCCCCTTCTAAAGATAGCGGTAATTGCCAGTCTGTTTTAATTTAGGTTTTTGTTGTTAGTTTGTTTCGAATAAAATCCACTTATTAAGTGCTCTTGTGGAGGATTGCATGACAGGGATAAAGCCTCTGTCTTTGGCAGAGATTTTGATTTAGAAAAGACAGCACTGTAAGACTTTGGGGGCCGGCAGAGGCACAGTCCGGCAGTTCAGCACCTGGTCTGATGGCATGCACTCACTTTTTACATGTGCTAGTTAATCAGTTGAAACATTAATCAGTGCTCTGCTTTCCCAAAGAGTGAAGATGCTTTATACTATAGCAGAAAGAAGCCTGGGACCTTCACGAAGTAGAGCTGTTAAAAACTCAGAATGGAGGGTCTGAGCTGGTTTCAGGCATCACTTCCCGGATGTGGGAAATCTGGAGTAGTCACTAGTCTTGGGCTCTCAACTTACCAGCCCGTATAGTGGGTACAGTAATATATCCATTACAGGGTTGTTGGCGATTCAATGAAATGATGAGTAACAAGTGCTTCACCGGTGTCCACAGCATAGGGTTCAGCAAGTTAGGCTGAAGGTTGTGTGGAGTAATTTGAGGAAAGTGAGACTGTTTCATGATACAGGAAAAGCATGGGAATTGAAAAGCATCATGGAATTGTGGAGACAACTCTGAATTGAAAAATAACCAAGAAAAAAGCCCAGGTGGAAATCTGGGGGGAGGGCTCTGACACGAGGGTAGGTCTTTGTCTTGCCCCACCAGGGAAGCTAAGGTTCATGGTACGGAAGCCTGTCATAGCCAAGATGGGCAGCCTCAATTAAAGAAAACTGACCAGAAAGAACTGCTAGGCTCTTGCAACAGAATGCTGTTTAGAATAGTAATGGAGAATGTTTAAAAATGTATGAGGTGCTTCTTGGCAGTTCCCCACCTGAGTATAAAGAACCTATTTTATTTTGCCTTGTTATAATTGCTTTTATTCTCCCTGAGATCCTGGATTTAAGATGCCCATCTGAATCCAAATAATGAACTAAAGCTAGATGTATTTCCATTTCTATCTAGGAGGTTTCTCTACTGATTGTCTGAAATCTTCCTTGGGTTTTTGGATTTTAGCTTTGAAAGGTTAAGTCACTAATCCAGGATATCACAGCTCACAATTAGCAAGGGGCCTGGGATTCAAGTCCCAGACATACCTGTTGGGAAGCTTGTGCTTTCTATTATATGATTCTGCTTCACGAAACACTGAATTGAGAATTCTAAGTCCTGAGTTTTAGTCTCCATTCCGATGA